ATGGAAGGGCCGAAGCTGCGGTCAAGTATGCCAAGGCTCAAACCAAGCGGCTGCTCATGGCGACCAATCTGCCGGTGGAAATATGGCCACTTGCACTGAACTACGCCATGTGGGCACAAATGCAAAGTCAGCTGCACCCAGATCGACAACTTGTCCCTTTCGGATCCAAGGTCCATGTTCGCACCAAGGTGTACGGAACCGGGGGCAAATACGATCTGCAATCTCGATGGGGTGTTGGGTCGTATGTGGGGCCTAGCTTGGATGTTCGAGAAGGGTCAGTGATCATGTTTGACAAGGGGAACTTCATCACGACGAACTACATGAGGCTTGGTTTGGTGGATGTGAATAAGGAGGTGGATTTGGGGGAGTACCAAGCGATCGTTTCTGTGCCGTCAAGAAGATTGAGGGAGAAATCTACACTGGATCCCGCCGACTTTGAGAACCTACCTCAACCCCTACCCGTTCAGGAGGAGAAGGTGAGCGACAAATACGACCCTAACGATCCGGTTGAAGAATATGCCAGGGCAATCCTCGCTGAAGATGAGATCTTGAGGGATTATGTGGAGTCGCTTGCACAGCTCTTGCCCAAGGTTGGGGAAAAGCCAAGGAGGTTTGGTGAAAAGTCTGAGGAGGAGGGAATTTGGGTGTCCGGAGCTTTCGTACATGGTGGGGTCGTAGGCGTCACGAGGAATGCTAAAAGGCACCAAAGAGCAACCAAAGTGTTCGTCGAGTACCTGAAGAAGATGTGCCCTGGAACGAAGTTCAACAGCATCGCAGTGTTCAAAAGCGTCAAGGCGGAAGCTCACAAGGATTCGCATAATGTAGGGATGAATGTGGCCGTGCCCCTGTCGGATTTCGAGGGTGGTGACATCATGGTGAAAAGGAATGGGGAAGAAGTGCTGTTGAAGGTCAGTGAAGGTCCTCAATACTTTGATCCTCGAGAAGAACATCAAACTACCCCGTGTACCAAGGGCACGAGTCTGATCTTGGTGGGATATTCGGTGAGGGATAGCGCCAAGCTTAAACCCGAGGAAGCAGTGTTCTTGAAGGGGCTTGGTTTTGATTGGAATCCTCATCGAACAGAAGAACGCCGACAGGGAGCCGGGGCAAGAAGGTTGGCCATGATGAGGGCTGAGGTCTTGCCAGAGGAGAAGAAGGAAGTCACGGAAGCGAAGGCGATGGAGGAAATAACCATGAGCGTGAGCGACTTGGACATTGCCATCCAGGACCTGGAGGATCGAGCCGTACGCCTACGAGATCTTCTGGAAGAAGAGGAGATCATGGCAGAGCAAGCAGTCCGCCTTGGCCAAGCTGTTCGTGAAGAGCTAGGAGGGACAAGGGACTATGTCTGCCAGTACTTGGACGAGATCCACAAGCAGTTGATGCAGTTCCAGAGGATGAAGGAGTCGAGGTTTCTTCGTGCAGCGCGCCAGCAGAGTCAGGAATCCGAAGTGGACTACGAAAAGCTACTGGACGAGCTGGAAGGGGACCTGGATATCGTCCATACTGTGCCTTTAGACCAAGTGAGGAAGGTTTTGGACCGATGGATTGAGGCAATTCGAGCTGAGGTTCAGTCGCTAATGGACTCCGGGACGATCTCCAAAATTTCCTGGAAGGCCGCCAAGGAGATGGAGGAACGAGGGGAGCTAAGAGTGGTTCCATCAAAATGTGTTTTTACACTCAAGCCTCCGTCACGACCTGGTGCAAGATGCAGAAGGAAATGCCGACTTGTGATATGTGGAAACCACATTGCCAAGGATGAAGCCAGTGAGCAAGCGGATCTTTATGCTTCAGGAACAAGCACGGATGCTTTGAGGTTAGCATTGACGGTGGCGGCTTCAATGGCTTGGCTGGCGGCGATAGCCGACATCACGGCTGCATTCCTTTTGGCAGAGTGGCCCGAGGGTATGGCAAAGTATGGCCTGGTACCCCCGAAGGTGGTCAAGGATGGAGGCTATCCTGGTCAAGACATCTGGGTGGTGCAACGACCGTTGTATGGGCTCCGAGAGAGTCCAGCGATCTGGGCAGAATTTCGGAATGCCAAGCTCAGGACCATCAAGATCATGATCAGAGGAAGAAGGCTGGGCCTGAAGCAGATGGTGTCGGAGTCGGAGCTATGGCTACTACGAGATGAAGAAACCCATGAGCTTTACGGCATCCTTGTCATCTATGTCGACGACCTCATGTACCTTGCCGAGGAGTGTGTGATACTCGAGCTGCATCGGGCAATTCGTGCTCTATGGGCCACATCGGAGCTGGAGTGGATCGGAAAGAATAAGACGGTTCGCTACTTGGGAGTGGAAGTTCGGTGGGACCAAGCCAGCAGCGCCTTCTGCATAAGCCAGCAAGCATACATCACCGAGCTGTTGCGTGCACACAACATGCAGGGCACAGTGCACACACAACTGCCAGTACCAAAGGAATGGCTGGAGGTTGGGGAGGATGGTGGTGATGATGTGCTGAAGTTTTCGGATGAAGATCTGAGGCGAGGACAGAAGGCTGTCGGCGAGGTTTTGTGGCTGGCGATGAAGACACGCCCAGACGTGTTGTTCGTAGTGAATCACATGGCGGCAAATGTAGCGAAAAGGCCGGTGCATGTGGAAAAAATGGGGCAGAGACTACTCAGCTATCTCGCTGGAACGGCAGATTTGGAGTTGGTTCTGCGACCTCCGTCTTCAGGAGAGCCCTGGGAAATGGCATGCTACACGGACGCATCGTTCGCTCCATATGGGGGAAGAAGTTTTGGGGCAACAGTCATCGTCTTTGGCCATGCTGCCATTTCGTGGAAGGCTGGCAAGCAGTCGTTTGTGACGATGTCGACGATGGAATGTGAGCTGTATGCCGCAGCTCAGGGGTACAACCTTTTGGAGTCCGTGTCAGCCATCTTGGAGGAGATCAACCCAAGACCTTTTGCCCGAGTGCTTGCTGTCGACAACAGTAGTGCTGTGGCGATGTGCTCTGGGGGCCAAGGCAGCCAAAGGACTAGACATCTGAAAGTGAGGGCCAGTTACGTAAGGGAGGCTGTGGCCGAAGGAAGACTTCAAGTACGACACACACCTGGAGCGCTGCAATTAGCAGATTTGGCGACAAAAATGCTGACGAAGGACCGATTATGGGAACTTCTGGGACTGTGGGGTTTCATTGGCGGAAAGCTGGCAAGGATGGCAGAAGCAATAAAGGTGAGGGCGATGGCTTTTATCATGATGCTGGTGTCCCTTGTGCAGCCGGCTGATGGAGAAACTTTTGCAGGCAAAGAAGCAATCCAGATGTCGGGGACGATGGAGCTCCTGGTGGTGAGCACACTGTTGTGTGTAGCTGCCATCGCCTTGTGGGAGTTCCTGAAGTTCGCAGCCAAATGGTGCATGAAGCAGTACAAGACGACAAAAAAGGCAAGAAAGTTGGAGAATGTGCGAAAAATGGCGGCAGAAGCCGCAAAGAAGGAAGTGCGAGAAGTTGGGAGATCCAACGTGACTGAGACCGTAGAGCCACCTACCTTGACGAGGAGATCTGCTATGACTACAAGCTTGGATCGGGAACGAACCCCAAGTCCATCGACTCGCACAACTCCACGACCCAGCCCGGGCACTTCCAGCAGCAACCACAGTGAACAGGATAGGCCGAGAATCATCCAGGACACCCTACTTCTGATGACGGTGGAATCCCTGAAGGAGGGACTGCGGTGCTTGGGGCTACCTGTTAGTGGTTTGAAGACTGACCTTGTGTTGAGGTTGGGAAGAGAGCTAGGGTGGGAGGAGCCAAGCCCACAAAGCGTGCAACCGACGACAAAGCAGCTCAAATACGTTCTCTGGATATGGCGAAGGAGAAACTTGAATGGTCGTTGCATTCTGAAGTGGGATAGCTTGGCAAGTCGTACAGCGATTTCGCAGTGGATCGATGCATGGAAGGACGCATGATGACATCGTGGAGAGGAGAAGATACTCGGGGGCCGAAGGCCTCGAGTAAGGAGGAGTGTGGAAGCATGATCCCCACGAGACATCACCGGAATTCACTATATCATCGGCGCTCATGCAGGCTCACAGTGCAAGCATGTGCTGGTGTAAAGCAGGACTTTGCAGGCGTAAAAACCATGTCTTGCAGAACTTTGCAAAGCAAGGATACGTCTTGCAGACTTTGCACAAGGAGCTATAAGCACAGCATGTAAAGAAGAACCATGTGCTTGGCTGGTCGTGTAAAAGGTGCCTTTCTCATTTCCGTGATGGTTTGAGCTGTGCCTATCGACTGGGCCATCGATCTTCAGGGCCTTAATCATTAGAATAGGATTTTGGGGTTAGGGTTTAGGGTTTAGGGTTTAGGGTTTAGGGTTTAGGGTTTAGGGTTTAGGGTTTAGGGTTTAGGGTTTAGGGTTTAGGGTTTAGGGTTTAGGGCTACTATAGGGGCCTTAATAAAAGAACAGGGTTTCGGGTGTCGTTTTCGTATAATGTTAAAGGGGCCGTAAGGGAATACTGTCAATAATTATTCCGACCCCTACTGTAGGGCTTAAGCCTACTTTCACCCCGCCCCCCCCACCTCTCCTCCAACAAAAAGTGGGTACATTCTGTGAACCATTACTGTAGATGTACGTACGCTGAAAAGCACAAAGAAAACATACGCACATACATACATACATACATACATACATACATACATACATACATACATACATACATACATACATACATACACACATACATACATACATACATACGCACATACATACATGCATACATACATACATACATACACACATACACACGTACACACGTACGTGCGTACACATATATATATATATATATATCGGCGACGTACGTACATACAAACTCAATGTGGCAGGCATGTTCTTGTTCAGATCCAAAACGTCACAACCTCAACACTTTGAGCACCCCCCCTTTCGTGATCTCGAATCCTTAACCCAAATCAAACCCTTAAAACCCTACACAAGCCCTCAACCCTAAACCCTCAACCCTAAACCCGAAACCCTAAACCCTAAACCCTAAACCCACCTCGTCAGCTGCGGTTACTGGGGCAGCAGGCGCCGCCTCCGCCGTGCCCCCCAGACAGGGGCCACACAAGGGGCCCTGAGCACGCAAGATTTTTCCACAACAAATGGGGGGTTTAGGAAATTAGGGGTGCCCTTATTCGGGGGTCTAGACTACGGGTCGCCATATTTTTGGTAAACCCCCAAAGATTTCTGAATCCTACAGCGACGCCAGCCGGGGGCATAAGGGGAAGCAGAAGGCCAAAGCATACACTGCATACTGCATGGCTGCTGGGCCAGAAGTTCGAGCAGGCCTATTTAATTAGACAGGCCCTTATACTAACAGTCCTTAACAGGGATTTTAGTACCCCCTATTAGAATCCCTATTAAGGACTGCTAGTACAAGGGGGAACATCCCAAAGACATGGTGTCGTTGGTAGGTTCTGTTGGCGTGTAGGCTCCAGCGAAACCTTGTGAAGATGGGACTCAACCCTAAACCCTAAACCCTGTACCCTAAACCCTAAACCCCAAACCCTATCCCTAAACCCTAAACCCTTCTTAGCCCAACTCTCTCACAGCCAAGGCGAAGCCACATGCTGCGAAGCCTCGGCGGCCACCCGATTCAGTTCCTGCAGCAACTGCTCAATGGAAGGCAAGGCGTTCTCCAGTGCCTGGGGGTGGGGGGGGGGGGGGGGGTTAGGGTTTAAGGTGTAGGGTGTAGGGTGTAGGGTTTAGGCTTTGGGGTTTAGGGTTTGGGGTTTAGGGTTTAGGGTGTAGGGTTTGGGGAAAGAATGTTGAGTGTTCTGGCTCTTGAGGCTTGTAAGTTTCGAGCTGCTACTGTAGGCGGCGGGAAAGTGGAAAGGAAAAAGAAGAACCGACTTGACTTGAAGGTCGAAGTGGATACTGCAGGCTAGAGAGCACGCAAGTGCACAATTTACCATCATGTATGGATAACGTTTCGGAGCAAGAGACGCAGAACAACACCACAACCACCACGACCACCACAGACCACCACAACAACGGCCACCGGCATCAGCACCCTTGCAAAGCAGGACGTCCCGACATGCACTCCTAAACCCTTCTGCGAAGACAAGCCCAAGCCTTCACATCCACCCACCACCCCCCCCCCCCCCCCTTCCTTGGGTTTAGGGTTTAGGGTTTAGGGTTTAGGGTTCAGGGTTTAGGGTCCCCCCCCCCCTCGCCTCCCTAGGCACCGGCGCCTCCAGAGGCTTCTCCTGCAATCAGCTGAGTCACCAAAACGGATGAGCTACGAAGGCTTGCTGTTTCGTAAGGTTTCGACTCTCACTCTCGCCAGGCTTCAAAACGTCTCGGTCGGCAGAAACTATACACTATGTCCCATGACGAATTCCCCTCCACGGGCCTCAGCAAAGCACGTCTGCTGCGACAGAAATCCTCCAACTGCACTAGCAAGCCAGGCTCACGTGCTTGCCCGTGTCTCTGACTCACCGAGCTGGTGTCGCTACGTACTTGATTAGAGGGCTGAACGCACTCCACAAAATTCCCGGGGACCTGTTGGTGGACTTCTTGTGAGTCCCAGGAAACCGCATGCACATTGGAAAAATGGGTCTTTCATGGGCGGGCTCAAAATCCTTAGGTGAGGCAACGTTTCAACCGCCTCCCCATGCCCAGCGTGGAGGTCCTATAGGGGTTGGTTTTAGGGTTCTGGGTGGAGGTTGTCACTGCTACCATAAAAAATGGCCCGCAACGGGCTTAAAATGGGCGACCCGCTCTGAGCTTCTCCACGAGCAGGAGCATCTCCTCAACCTTCCCACGCTCCTGCAGGAAGTTGATCAAGTACATCGCGGAATTCATGGTCTCTGAATGCTGTGCGCCATATACAGCTCGGCAGAGTCGGAGCTCCTCACGAAAGAGCTGCTCTGCCTCGTCCCACTGGCCGCCGCGCTGCAAACACTGGGCCAAGTTGAAGGTCATGGTGAGGGTTTTGGGGTGCTCATAACCCAGCCTCGCACGGCACCCTGCCAAAGCCTCCCGGTAAAGCGGCTCCGCTGCGTCCGACTCGCCCTTGGCCTCCAGGAATTTGGCGAGGTTGTTGACGAAGATGAGGGTGTCCGGGTGGTCGTCGCCGAGCTTCGCACGGAACCCTGCCACAGCCTCCCGGTAAAGCGGCTCCGCTGCGCCCAACTGGCCCTTGGTGTACAGGAGTACGGCGAGGTTGTTCACAGAGCTGAGGGTGTCAGGGTGCTCATCGCCCAGCTTCGTACGGCGCCCTGCCAAAGCCTCCCGGTAAAGCGGCTCCGCTGCATCCAACTCGCCCCTGGCCTTCAGGAGTCCGCCGAGGTTGTTGATGGACCTGAGGGTGGCCGGGTGGTCATCGCCGAGCTTCGTACGGCGCCCTGCCAAAGCCTCCCGCAGAAGCGGCTCCGCTGCGTCCAACTGGCCCTTGGCTTTCAGGACTTCGGCGAGGTTGTTGATGCAGATGAGGGTTTGAGGGTGCTCGTCCCCGAGCCTCGCGCGGCACCCTGCCAAAGCCTCCCGGCAAAGCGGCTCCGCCCCGTCCAACTCGCCCTTAGCCTCCAGGAGGGTGGCGAGGCTGCTGATGGAAATGAGGGTGTCCGGATGGTCGTGGCCAAGCTTCAAACGGCGCCCTGCCAAAGCCTCCCGGTAAAGCGGTTCCGCTGCGTCCAACTGGCCCTTGTCCTGCAGTAGTCCAGCAAGGTTGTTGACGGAAACGAAGGTGTCCGGGTGGTCGTCGCCGAGCTTTGCACGGCACCCTGCCAAAGTTTCCCGGTAAAGCGGCTCTGCTGCGTCCAGCTGGCCATTGGTGTGCAAGAGTCCGGCGAGGTTGTTGACGCAATTGAGGGTGTCCGGGTGGTCGTCGCCCAGCTTCGTACGGCGCCCTGCCAAAGCCTCCCGGTAAAGCGGCTCCGCTGCGCCCAACTGACCCTTGGCGTGCAGGAGTCCGGCGAGGTTGTTGACGGAAGTGAGGGTGTAAAGGTGGTCGTCGCCGAGCACCGCACGGCACCCCGCCAAAGCCTCCCGGTAAAGCGGCTCCGCTGCGTCCAACTGGCCCTTGGCTTTCAGGAGTTCGGCGAGGTTGTTGATGGAGTGGAGGGTGGCCTGGTGCTCGTCACCGAGTTTCACACGGCGTCTTGTCAAAACCTCCCGGCAAAGTCGTTCCGCTGCGTCCAACTGGCCCTTGGTTTTCAGGAGTCCGGCGAGGTTGTTGACGGAGAGGACCGTGGCAGGGTGCTCGTCGCCGAGCTTCGCACGGCAATTGCACACGCTCTCCCTGTAGAGGTCTTCCGCCTCGTCTAGCTGCGCCCTGCCCACCAGCCGGCTCGCCAACTCGAGCACGCAAAGGAAGGTGCGTTCATCCGTACTTCCATAAGCGGCACGGGCACGAGAGAGTCGCAGCCGGAGCAGGTGCAGCATGCTGTCGGCCTCTGCCGAAGCGTGTCGAACCTCACCGAAGCTGTTGGTAACGCGGACCACCCAGACATCCCGGTCGCCATCTACAGCCCGGCCCTTGGCGTCCTCGCCCAAACGCACCAGTCTCTCCTCCTTCGTTGCGGCGTCCTGCACCACGCGCGCAGCCAGGTCTGGCGTCTGCTTCTGGAAGATGTTGAAGGCTATGGGCGCGGGTACCAGCATGGGCACGCAGTAAGCAGCACGGTGCCCAGCAGGACTTCGCTCTCCCCACTCGCGTTGCACCCGCTGGGCTTCGGTACCATCCACATCACTGAAGGGGCTGGAATTGCTGTAGTTATTCAGAAGAATCCGCACACGTAGTGACCAAGCTGAGGGCTCGTGCTGGGAGGCATAGATGCCCTTGCCAAAGTGGGCTCGCGAGTCCACCAGAGAAGCGAAAAGCTCTGCAGCCGTCTGTTCCAGGTTCGCTACGTTCTGGAAGGCCAGGTCCGTGGTGTAGTGGTAGAGCACCAACAGGCCACCAACGACACTTTCTTTGACATCTGCGAGGTCCCTGAGGTCGAAGGCATGCCTCCAGACGTGCACCGGACCGTCGGGCGCATCGAATCGGAAGGTGGGCAGCTCGCCGACAAAGTCTTGGGAGTAGCTTCCGCCCTCGTAAAGCTCTCCACGAAGGTAGGCACCAGCGAAGTACTCCGACAGCTCGGCAGGCCCAAACACCTGCTTCCCTGAAGCCGAGGGCTTCAGCTGCTCTCCGCATTCCGCCTGGAGCAGCTCCGACTCCTCGCTGACAGTGGCTGCACCGCTGAGGCTCCCAAACCCACACGTCGGCACAAAGGCACTGTCCTGGACCCCAGCTTTCGGGACATCCGCCTGCACCTTCGTTCTAGAGCTGTCTAAGGCTTCACCCTGCTCCGGCTGCTCTTCCAGTGCACCTGTGGTCGTCCCGAGGGCCTCGTCCTGGCTACATGTGTCCTTGAGGTCCCAAGAAGCCCGCGGACTTTGAGCCAAGAGAGTTGGCAGCGACGGCGCGTTGCCACCTGGCGCTGTGCACGGCTGCGGCTCCGCAGCGGCCTTGGCCTTGCCGCCAGCGCAGCCCATGACTCCAGCTGCACAGGTAGTGGAAGAGGAAAATTTTGGCGGACGCGACTCAAAAAGTTCTTGAGCCAATTTGGGCGTGTGAGTCTCATGAAGCCTCATGGCAGGTCCCCAATTACGAGGTTTGGCAAGGGGGGCGCGGACGACTTGAGCATAAGTCTAACATACACCCCAGCACACGCCGATGCAGGTGCAGAAGTAGAGCGAATTCGACATGCCTCCAAGCCCTGTGCCCCGTCTGTCAGCGCAGTCTCGTGCGCCTCAAGGGCCAGGGGGGACGGGGGCAGGGGTTTGGGGTTTGGGGGTGTTAATGCTCTTTGAAGTTTGGCACTAAGGCTTTAGGGATTGGGGTTAAGAGTCTTGGGGTTTGGGGGGAAGAGTTGGGATATATTGGGATATTCCCCCTTATACTAACAGTCCTTAATGTGGATCATGGTACCCCCTTTGTACTATAATCCCTATGAAGGAGCTGTTCGTGTAATTAAGGGGGAACATCCCAAGTTTTGGGTTGAAAGCTGACAGGGCTTCGGAACGTCTGGGTTTACAGCTTTAAAAGCTTCGGTGGAACCGCCACGGCCCGTTTGCCACTACGTCTGTGAAAGAATCGGGCGCGCCGTCAACGACATCATGGGACAGAGTGGCAGGGCTGCGGTTGAGGGGTTTAGGGTTTAGGGTGCCACCTGCCCCCAGCACGAGAGTTTTGAGTGGTTCGGGACACGAAGCTTGGTCAAGATCAAGCTAAGATGAACAAGTTAGGCGCCCTGCAAATTTTGCCGTTTACCCTGTTCTAGTACTATTTCATTTGGGGTGTCATGATGTGAAGTTTCTCGTACCCTTCGGAGCTTGGTTTGCAGATAACTGTGGTCCAGGCGATCACATCCCCTCCTGCTTCCGTGCTGGGCACTTCTTCCGGATGTTGCGTTTCCTCGGGGCTCGGGCGTATGGGTGAGAGGGCGCTGAATGCGAGCAGACACGTGTGCTAGAGTGCTGCACATCTCTAGTGTGGACCCTTTTGGGTTATTGTTAGGGTTTAGGAGTGAGGGTTTAGGGTTTAGGGGTTTAGGGTTTAGCAAACGCTCCAAAAAAGGCACGACCCAAAGCCCTGTCCCTTCATGTGGGGCGGGGGGTCCTGCTAAGGAAATTCTACTGGTCCAACGGGGAACCTTATTTTGTTGGGAAACCGAGACAGCTCCGAAAGCGCTTCCTTTGAGAGCTTTGGTTCCAAAGACCTTGCCTCTATCTACTATTTGCTTGAGAACCCCAAAAAAACAAGAACATACTCCCTCTATTACCCTTAAATAGAAGAGTATAATTCTATTTTTTGGCAGGTTCTTTTGAGCCTTAACGCCTAAGCCTGATTCCACCCTCATGCCCGAGACTCATGCCCGACAGCCCAGAACCTCTACATGGGCAGATTGCCGTTTAGGGTTTTTAGGGTTTAGGGTTTAGGGTTTAGGGTTTAGGGTTTAGGGTTTAGGGTTAGGGTCCTCATGTTGAAAGCCTAGGAAGCCCCGAATCGCCGAACCCTCATCTCAGAATGCTGTCAGAAACTGACATCGAGCCGCTCTGCGCATTTGCGCCCTACGCCGCACCAGGAACCTTACACCAGCAGGCGAAAGAGATTTCGTGCTGAAGGGATTCAAGGAGTTAAGACCACTTAGGGCTTAAGGGATTCAGGACTTAGGGTTTAGGGGGCTTAAGGGTTTCAGGGCATACGTAAGGTTTTCGGTTCTTAGGGTTTAGGGTTTAGGGTCTAAGGGTGCGACTGCTTAGACCTCAGGAGTTCTACGGTGGAGAGAAATGGGCGCCACGGCTCGGAATCTAGGATTCCGGGTTGACAGTTCAGCGTTCGGGATTAGAGTTTAGGGTTTAAGGTTTAGGGTTTAGGGTTTAGGTTTCGGGTTTAGGGTTTAGGGTTTCGACTCTCACACTGGCACAAGAGGGTTTAGTAATTTAGGGTTTAGGGTTTAGGGTTTAGGGTCACTGTTGCACTCGAGGATACCCAAAGCAACCAGAAATCAGGGTAGTTAGGGTTTAGGGTTTAAGGTTTAAGGTTTAGGGTTTAGGGTCACTGTTGCACTCGAGGATAGCCAAAGGAACCAGAAATCAGGGTAGAAGCCTCGAGGCTCTTTGGCCTGCTACCTCACATGCCACGTCCGACCGCAGCCTGGCCGCTTTCTGCTGCGCTTCAGGAAGGCCTGGCCATGTTCTTGGAGGTTAACCAAGGGTTTAGGGTTTAGGGTTTCGGGTTTAGGGTTTAGGGTTTAGGGTTTAGGGTTTATTGGAGGTTCATGGTCCTTATTAACCAAGTGTACTTATGATCAACTTGTGACCCCCTTAAGTGCCCGAATATGGCTATAAGTACAGTTATAAGGACAGCGGAAGTGGCCTTTTGGCAACAAACCCGAATACCTTCTTGGAAACGAGGCTCTGTGACCCTAAACCCTAAACCCTTTTTGCAAAAGGCTTCGGGACTCCGCCTGGAGATGCTGAGCCTAAACCCTAAACCCTAAACCCTAAACCCTAAACCCTAAACCCTAAACCCTAAACCCTAAACCCTTCCGAGAACATCCTCAACCCTAAAGGAGCCGGCCGACGAAGCCACTACCCAGCGCACTCCGACACCCCCGAAGTGCAGGGTTTTTGGGATCCTAAGCGCCCCCAACACCCTAAACACCGCGAAAAAACCCAACCCTAAACCCTAAACCCTGAGCCCCAGAACCCTAAAAACCCTAAACGCCGCGTTTGGGGCATTTGGGGCGTTTTTGGGTACCTCGGGTTTAGGGTTTAGGGTTTAGGGTTTAGGGTTTAGGGTTTAGGGTGATTGGGGTGCTTAGGACCTTGTCCCGCCGCTGCTGCTCCTTCTCCAGTCGGAGCTCCTTGGCCACCCAAGCCCAAAGTTCCCTGAAACCCACAGTTCCGTGATGCTTTTGTGGCTTTTAGGGTTTAGGGTTTAGGGTTTAGGGTTTAGGGTTTAGGGTTTAGGGTTTAGGGTACCGGGGGGGGAGGGGGGGATTAGCAGACCTCCACGAAAACTGATTAAGGAGCCTCTTGGATTGAGTTTGAAACTAAGTTTCCAAAGTCTGCGGGTTCAACCCACACCGAAAAACCCCCTTGGGACAACCCACAAGCTTCTCTTGGCTAAGGCAGGCTTCTGGCTTCAGGAGTTCAGTCCCCTGAGCCCTGGCGACCCTAAAAATCCCTCGAAAAACCCCCTGAAGCCCTTACTAACCCCCTCCCGACACGTGCCCTTGCAGGCCTAAACCCTAAACCCTAAACCCTAAACCCTAAACCCTAAACTCTAAACCCTAACCCTAAACCCCAAACCCCAATGAAATGCGTATCAACCTGGGGGGGGGGGGGGGGGGCTGATTGCATCCTCCTTCTCTCACTCGAAACTACTTGGAGATTCATGGTACGCATTAACCAATTATACCTGTACTTAGAACTGTACTTACAACCATTTAGAAGCGGGAATGACTACGAATGGCTTCCCTTAGGGCCCCTTTATAATTATACTACAATGACCTCCCCAAAACCCCTATTCTAACCATTAAGGCCCCTTACAGTAGCCCCAAATCCTAAACTCTAAACCCCAAATCCTAAACCCTAAACCCCAAAAATCCTATTCTAATTGTCAAGGCCCCCATATTATGTTCGCCCAGGTCGCGGACTCCAACTCCTCCGCGGTGCCGAAGCTCAGCATCGCGACGACGTTGCTCCTTGGCTCCCTGGTTCTTAGGTCGGGCAATGAGGGATTTAGGGTTTAGGGCTTAGGGTATTAGAGGGCCCTATAGTATACCCTTCAAAAGGATTATATAGGGCCCTCGTTCCCTCATACCCTACTGAGAACCAGCCGTGTAGGATTCGGGGGGTTAGGGCTTGGTGCTTCATTCCTCAGAGGTTGAGGGTTTTAGAGAAGGAGGAGGGGAGGGGAGAGGGGATGGGGAGGAGGGGGAAGGGCACGGCCATGAACCGCGATTCCCTGCCAGGCTGGTGGCAGAGGAAGTGATCTAGGGGCCTGAAGAAGTCGACTGGGAAGTCTGTATTATATATGGCATCAACAAACTCTAGGAATTCGAGGGAGGATAGGCTCCTGTCGAATTTTCAAGCTCTGCAACCAAAGCAAGGGAGCATCGCCCTAAGCCCTAAACCCTAGACCCTAGACCCTAAACCCTAAACCCTAAACCCTTAACCTTGTTGGGGTTTACAACTCCGGACGCTCCCTTCTGATGCGGCCGTGTCTTCCGCTCGCCATGGAGCGCCGCGTTCTGGATCTGCACGGAGTTCCTTTCTCGAGCGGCACCTCGCATCCTGGGGAGGGGAGAAGGCCTCATATTGGACAAATAGATTGTAATATGAATCTTCTTTATGAAAAAACATTTATATATATATAATGCATTGCACCGTTCAACTTAACAGAGGGTTTATCATGTTCAGAGGTATCTGGCTCGAAGCCAGAAACCCTGCAAAAAAAACTTTCGAACCTCATCTCGGCCCTGCAATGCCGGAAGCCAGCATCTCAGACCGTGACCCAAACCCGAAGCCCCTCAACCATCCTCAATGCCCAACCTCAAACCCCAAACCCCAAAACCCCAAACCATAAACCCCAAACCCTAAACCCCAAACCCAAAACCCCAAACCCCCAAACCCTTACCCTAAAACCCTAAACCCCAACCCGCAAACCTCAACCCCAAACCTCAGCCCTCATTCCAAACCCAAACCCGAAACCCCAAACCTTAACCCCTAAACCCCAAACCCCAAACCCCAAGCCCTAAACCCTAAAACCCCAAGACAAAGAAAGCAAGAGCGCAAGCGCGCGCGCAAGCGCGCGCGCGCGCAAGCGCGCGCGAAGTTCCTGCCAAGTCTCGAGCCGAGCAGGTCCGTCAGGGCCTCCGCCTCGATGCCTTCGCGGGTGCTTGCTGGGGCTTTTGGGGGCGGTTTAGGGTTTAGGGTTTAGGGTTAGGGTTTAGGGTTTAGGGTTTAGGGTTTAGGGTTTAGGGTTTAGGGTTTAGGGTTCAGGGTTTAGGTTTAGGGTTTAGGGTTTAGGGTTTAGGGTTTAGGGTTTAGGGTTTAGGGTTTAGGGTTTAGGGGTCAGGGGTTAGGGGTTTAGGGTTTAGAGGGCTTATGGAGGCTTAGGATTGGTTGTTTAGGGCTTGTGGGGGTTTGGGGGTGAGGGCCTAGGGTTTAGGGCTTGTGGGGTTGGAGGGGTTGGGGTTTCATGGTTCGGGGTTCAGGGGTTGCATGGAAGGGTTTCAGGAATGGGCTGTAAAGATAGGGTGGGTTTAATGACAGGGTTTCGGGGCCTTTAGGGGCCTATTGGGTTTCTAGAGTCGAGTACGGGCTTTTTGACGGGGGGGGCGTTGCCACCCGCACAGGTTCTCGATGTTCGGGATTCTCGTTTCCGTGCAAACCCTAAACCCTAAGACCCTAAACCCTAAACCCTAAACCCTAAACCCTAAACCCTAAACCCTAAACCACCCAAATTCTGTTTAGGACCAGGCCGAGGTCTCGTCATGCATGAAAGGCTTCCAAGCTGAAAGAAACACCCAGAGGGTCCGTTTCTAGAAGCCACTTCTTTGAAGGAAACGTCAACCCTAAACCCCAAATCCCAAACCGCATACACAAGTCCCCCGATTTTCTGGGTGATTTTGCCTGCACCCTCGAACTGCGCAACTAAGAAAAGGGTCGGAAGAATTACTAATATCATTATTCCCTTATGGTCCCTTCATAAATATTCTATAATCACCCCCAAAATCCACTTCTAATTGTTAAGGCCCCTAAGCCCTAAGCCCTAAGCCCTAAGCCCTAAACCCTAAACCCTAAACCCTAAACCCTAAACCCTAAACCGCAAGCAGACACAGGGGTGTGGACCATGGCAGTCCTGGCTCTTCCGACGCGCTGGCAATCATCTCCTTATCGCCAGCAGGCTTTTGGGGTTTAGGTTTAGGGTTTAGGGTTTAGGGTTTAGGGTTTAGGGTTTAGGGTTTAGGGTTTAGGGTTTAGGGTTTAGGGTTTAGGGTTTAGGGTTGGCTTTTGGGGTTTGGGGTTATAGGGCAGCTTCATCCCGAAGTGCACAGCAACCCTTGGGGTTTAGGGTTTGGGGTTTGGGGTTTAGGGTTTAGGGTTTGGGGTTTAGGGTTTGGGCTCTAGGGTTTGGGGTTTTGGGGTTTAGGGTTTGGGGTTTAGGGTTTGGAGCAAGAACCGGTTCTCAAAAGCGGCCACGGATCTCGCACCACTCCCCGGGCGAAGAGCAGCGCCTGCTCTTCCTCTCAGAGGACGCTGCAAGGGGGGCAAACAAGTGCATCCACATATGGGGGGCTTAGGGTTTAGGGTTTGGGTTTCGGCTGTCACACTCGCGCAAGGCAGGCAAAGATTCGGTCGGAAGGTCCACTCACAGACTCCACAGTTTAGGGTTTAGGGTTTAGGGCTTGGGGTTATGGACCCCCGGATCCCTATATTCCCTATATAATAAGGACCCCAATAAGAGACCCCCTAACATCCTAAACCCACATATTGAACACGACTTTGTATCTGAGGCAGCCTGTTGAGCAGAGTGCTCCATCCTCAACCGTTTTTGGATCCAAATCCCGAGATCCGAGGCCTCGTGAACCTCTCAACACTTGCTTTCTCTCAATCTCAGTGACAGTCAGCACGCGAAACCGCCTGAAGTCCCGGAAACCGCGCCCTGCCATGCTGCATGACAACGGGAAAGGAACCCTAAACCGAATTTGCAACCCTAAACCTACCCTAAACCCTAAACCTGCAACCCTAAACCCTAAAGCCGAGTAACTGTACTTTGCAACCCTAAACCGAATTTGCAACCCTAAACCCTAAACCTGCAACCCTAAACCCTAAACCCTAAAGCCTGAACCACCACCAGGGGCTCCTGGGCGGTGGCCGCCAGCGGTTGCAGCAACGCGGTGCTCGGGGCATCCTCCTGCGCCGGAGGTTGAGAGACCGAACGCTTCGGCCTCGATAACCATGAGACAGCTACCATAACACTGATGTACTTTACAATAATCAGGAGAAAACGACTATGACACTAAGAATAATTTTACTATCATATTTAAGACTGATTATCGTAGTAAGGTTTGGGGCTTGTGGGGGGGTTTAGGCGGACATTTGAGCTCGGGATTGGCAACTGAATAGGGGCTCGCGGGATCTCGTGAACCTCGGGTCCCTAAAAGCGTCTGCAACTACCTACAACCCCTTCGGGGTTGAGGGCTTAGGGCTTAGGGTTTCTGCAGCACCATAGGGTTTAGGGTTTAGGGTTTAGGGGATAGGGTTTAGGGTTTAGGGTTTAGGGTTTAGGGTTTAGGGTTTAGGGTTTAGGGTTTAGGGTTTAGGGTTTAGGGTTCAGGGCTAGGGTTTAGGGGTTTCGGTATTCAGGGATTCCGATGAGATGCGGTCCAGGGGAGTGCCCTTGGCTCCGGCTGCCAGACCAGGCAGCGCGATGAGGTTCGCCTCGTGAACCTCCACATGGTTGGACTCGTAAGGGCCCCTACTTGGAGCTTCATGGTACATACTATAAGGGGTTTAGGCTTTAGGGTTTAGGGTTTAGGGTTTAGGGTTTTCTACTTGGAGGTTACTTTCTTTACATTCTTATGGGTTATACCCACTAACGCTAAACTGTAGGTAAATAGAGTCCCGCCTAATACTAATGACAGTAATCAAAATACAAAGGAATAAACACAAGTAGTCATTACAGAAACAATCATAGTAACAATACTGACAGTAGTAATAATATACTAGTAAAAAATAGTAATCGTAACGCATAGTAACAATAATCGTAAACACAGTAGTAATAGTAATCATAGTAATAATTTAATTGTAATAATACTAATAATCGTGATAATAATAGTGATAATAATAGTGATAATTGTGAGGATAAGAATAACAATTATAATCGTAGTAGTAATAAAAGTAAGAAAAATAAGAATAGTAATTGTAGTAAAAACTAATGATAGTCATAACACTAATTTGTGCGCGCAAAGCGGCGCCGTACCTTCTCAGCATGTGAGTCGCTACCCTTTTGAGCAACGGACTTTGGAGGCTGCCGGCAAGCATGCAACTTCTTAGAAGTCACATCACGCAAAACATCACGCGGAGTCGCTACCCTAAACCCTAAACCCTAAACCCTCAAACGGCTTCCAGTGCACATGGTTCTTCGCTTGTGTCATCTGTCGGCCTGGGGACCAACCATTCGAATACAGGGGTCAGAAGAATTAGAACAGGGTTTGGGGGGGCTGATTATAGAATAACTATATAGGGAACATCAGGGAAAAGAATTCGGACTTATTCCGACCCCTAAATTACACTGCCCCTCCCCTCGTGCGCGACCAAGCACCCAGGCGGGCAGCCAAGCATTCTAGGTCTCCCAGAGCCAAAAAAAACGACTCACACTCGGACACACTGGCTGGTTTAGGGTTTAGGGTTTAGGGTTTCGGGTTTAGGGTTTCGGGTTTCGGGTTTAGGGCTCAGGGTTCAGGGTATCCCTGCACGCAGACGAGGCACCAGTCTCATCGTCTTGTTGGCAAGGACATTGTCCGCACCCGGCTCCTAGGAAGAGGGAGCACCCGAGCGTCCGCATGGAGTCGTGTTTTTTAGGTTAGTGTTTAGGGTTTGGAGTTTCGGGTTTATATAAGGGTTTAGAACTTGGGGCTTAGGGTTTTGGGTTTAGGATTTAGGATTTCGGGAACCCCGAACCTAACCCAAAACCCCTACCCCTGCAGCGCATTGTTCAACTCGGCCTTAGCTCAGGTGACGCCACGAACATTGGTTCCTCACACGCCCTGATTCCGGACCCTATTCTTTAGGATTTAGGCCCTAAACCCTATTCCTAAACCCTATTCTTTAGGATTTAGGCCCTATACCCTGATTCAATGGCAAACCTTTGCCTGAAACCTTTGTTGAAAAAACCCTACGAACCTTACAAGCCTCAATCTGGAGATAAATCTCTCTCCCCTTTACACTGGAAACCCTAAATGGGGTCTCCAAAAATAGGTACCCTTTTGGGGGGTTCCTGAAAAGGATTCTGTCGCATTTTGGGATATATAAGGGTTTACCCCTATATGTTCGGGAATCCCTGAATCAAACACCGACCTGACGCAGCTCAGGGGCTGTGTAGACGGCCCAATACCAGCACCCGTACTCATCCGTCGCGCCATCTGAGAGCGCTCGTTGTGGGGCATGACAATGACTCTGCTTTAAAACCTAAACCCTAAACCCTAAACCCTAAACCCTCAACCGTGCTGGGGCTTCTTGGGCGGGTTTGGAACATGGAGGTCCAGGGGTTTAACAAGAGGATTCTGGCCCTAAACCCTATACCCCAAACCCAGCGTGGTGCCTAGACTCGCCACTGATGCACACAAGCAAGATGCTAGACAAGTTTGGGGATGCTCAGGGGTTTAGGGTTTGGAGTTCAGGGGTTAGGGCCCCGTGCAACATCCTGGCTGACGGCCTCCTAACAAAGTCGCCAAGAAACATCCCTTGAGCCCTAAACCCAAATTAAACCCTAAACCCTGTTGCATCTGGGCTCGCTAACCCTAAACCCTAAACCCTAAACCCCCTAAACCCTAAACCCTAAACCCCCTAAACCCTAAACCCTAAACCCTAAACCCGAAACCCTAAACCCTAAACCCGAAACCCTAAACCCTACACCCCCCTGACAGAAGCCTCCGCCCGCCTGCCCAGCTTTCCCCTTGCGGCCCGCAGCTGCAAGGCCACCCATCCAGATCGGGGCCCAAGCCCACGAAAACGGCCTGGTGCACTGGAGGGGGGTGGGCGGGGCGGTTTAGGGTTTAGGGTTTAGGGTTTAGGGTTTAGGGTTTAGGGTTTAGGGTTTAGGGTTTAGGGTTTAGGGTTTAGGGTTTAGGGTTTAGGGTTTAGGGTTTAGGGTTTAGGGTTTAGGGTTTAGGGTTTAGGGTTTAGGGTTTAGGGTTTAGGGTTTAGGGTTTAGGGTTTAGGGTTTAGGGTTTAGGGTTCCAGGGCTTCAGACGGCAAGTTGGCGGATCTTAGAGGGCTTGCTACGGTTTAGGGTTTAGGGTTTATAGGGCTCCCACGGACAAGAACCAAACATGCGCCAGACTGTTGCGGAAGCAGCCGGCTCTGCGTTTTCAAGGTGTCCGGGTTTCAAAGAGGTAGAAAAACAACCCCTTTCTCTTCGCGCCCTCGTGATCCGAGGAGTGAATGGCGGCCCCTGCAGGATAGTCTAAAAGCTCTTGCAACATGCTTGCGGGCTCTCGCCTGGATATCCTTTTACCACTGGACTGAAGCCTGGACACTGGAAACCCTAAACCCTAAACCCTAAACTCTAAACCCTAAACCCTAAACCCTAAAAGCCCAAGCCAGCCTTCTCCCCCGGAGCTGGAGCCCGGCTGGGCAGAGGCAGAAGGCAGGAGATTGGCAGGCTGATGACCTTCAGGTTCCGTAGGTCACCTCAGGGATTCGAAACGGTTTAGAGTTTTGGGGTTTAGGGTTTACGGTTTCGGGATCCCATTTTGTATGTGCAGACACTGACGAGGGAAAACGTCTCACTCTTCTACGCCACGTGCCCTGAAAGCCTACTCCGACGGGGCGCACCTCTTTATTCAGAGCACCAAACCACGCTGTGACCCGAAAAAGAGCTCAGCCCAGTTTTTCAGGCTTCTAGGAACTCTCCCCGTTCAGGGTGCGATGTCTGGCCAAGGCCCCTTGAACTCTCAAGTTCTTCAACCCACTACCTGCCTAGACTACAAAAATCCTAAACCCTAAACCCTAAACCCTAAACCCTAAACCCTAAACCCTAAACCCTAAACCCTACACTCCAGACTCTCTAAAACCCTCGAACGTAGCATCCCGAGCTCCCTAAAAAAACCTACACCCCCTCAGCCCTTTTGAAACCTTTGACCGCCGAAAGCCCTAAAACCCTGTGTTCTTGTGAACCCAGAGCTTCAGACCCTAAATTCATCCCAAATTCAAAGCTAAACCCTAACTAACCCCTACAAATCACTCAAATCCCTTCAGCCCTAAACCGTAAACCTGAAACCCTAAACCCTAAATCCACCAAGCCGGACGTGAGCCCCGCACGCAGGCGTGCAAAGTCGGCGCTGTGCGTCGAAGCCCCGAGATAGGCGCAGACAAGTTCCGTCCCGGTGACGCACACCTAAGGTTTCACTCTTGAGGGTGTATATAGGGTTTAGGGTTTGGGGTTTAGGGTTTAGGGTTTATTCGACGATGTGTGGCTTGGAGAACATCCTATGCACACCATGCCTCATGTCGACCACTACTTCTGAGGGCGCCACAGGCAACAGGATGAAACCAAGAATCACTAAGCCAACAGGGTTTAGGGTTTAGGGTTTGGGCGCTTGTTGTAGGATCTACCCTAAACCCTAAACCCTAAACCCTAAACCCTAAACCCTAAACCCTAAACCCTAAACCCTAAACCCTAAACCCTAGGCTTTGTGGCGCTTTGAGGGTCTGGGCCTTACGGGCCTCGTAGAGTCTAAGGTTGCGCGAAAGAAGCAAAAGCCCTTCAGCTGCCTTCTGAGAACCCTTGCCATCATGGATGTACTTCTAAGCCTGTTTAGGGTTTAGGGCTTTTAGGGTTTAGGATTTAGGGTTTAGGGTTTTTAGGGTTTTTAGGGTTTAGGGTTTAGGGTTTAGGGTTTTTAGGGTTTTTAGGGTTTTTAGGGTTTTTAGGGTTTAGGGTTTAGGGTTTAGGGTTTAGGGTTTAGGGTGCGGTTGAGGGACTTCGTCGTAGTCGCGAACCACAGGCACACCGGAGAGGAAAAACAAACAGCCGGACGCAACAGAACAAGTCAGGAGGCAGGCTCGGGAAGGGACTCAAATCATGTCAAGTCGGGTTTAGGGCTTAGGGTTGAGGGCTCAATGTTTAGGGTGTTTTCTTCGCCCTCCTGCACAGCTGGGGCGAATCCGCATCTTGTAGGGTTTCGGGTTTAGGGTTTCGGGTTTCGGGTTTAGGGTTTATGGTTTAGGGGAGTGCCAAGCCCTGAGCCACGGTCTGCCCAGGCGCCAAGGATCCAGGCCGCAGGCTTCGTAGCTCCTCCGTGAGGTCGTCACAGAGCCAGGGATCGGTGGCATCGTAGCCTGCATCGGGTCATCGGGTTTAGGGTTTAGGGTTTAGGGTTTAGGGTTTAGGGCTTAGGGTTTAGGGTTTAGGGTTTAGGGTTTAGTGTTTAGGTTTAGGGTTTAGGGTTTAGGGTTTAGGGTTTAGGGTTTAGGGTTTAGGGTTTAGGGTTTAGGGTTTAGGGTTTAGGGTTTAGGGTTTAGGGTTTAGAGTTTAGGGTTTAGGGTTTAGAGTTTAGGGCTTAGGGATTAAGGTTTTATGGTTTTAAGCCTCAAGCTCCAGAAAATGCAGGCAGCACTGTCCTCCTTCAAGAGGCCAGGTTTCGTTTCTGACTCTGAAGCAGCATTTACAGCCAAAACACCATCACACACACACACACAGACGGAGACAGAGACACATACAGAGACACCCTAAACCCTAAACCCTAAACACTCCACCTTCGGACTTAAGGAGCTTCGAGCATGAGAGACGAAGAACAAAAGCCCCAAAATTGCAAGGGTTTGGGGTTCCAGGGACAAAAGCTTCAGGGAAACGCACACATTCCAGGGAACCAACCAACATGGACATCCCTAAACCCTAAACCCTAAACCCTAAACCCTAAAACAAGGTACAAGAAGGCAGGTGCCGGCGGCATGTCAGCCGCCTGGCTACAGCTGCACCTCAAACTCTTCCTAAACCCTATAAACCCTATAAAGCCCTAAAAAATCCTGTAAACCCTTTAACTCCTATTAGCCCTAAAAACCCCTATAAATCCTATAAACCCTATAAATCCTGAGCCCTGCACCCGAAAACCCACTCAACCTGAAAGACCCGACCCCTGAGATGCCCACGCAGATGTGATCTCCGTACGCTGGGGGGGTTGTGGGGCTGATAAGAGGGTTATAACCCGCAACCCTAAACCCTTAAACCCTAAACCCTAAACCCTTAAACCCTTATAGGAGCTTATGGAGTTTAGGGAACATCGAGCTCATGGGATTTAGGGGTCGTAGACTTGTGACTGAGGGTGCCGCCGTGCTCCTCGCGAACCTGGGATGTCAGGACTGGGTATTGTATGTATATATATATACTACCATTTTCATGTATGTATATGTATGTATGTGTGTGCACATGTATACATATACATATACATATACATATATATATATATACATATACATGCAAATGTTTATGTATATACGTATATATATATATATGTACGAGGGACCTCTGTGTACTATGTGAACGCTTTCTCTTTTTCAACCGTTTTAACCATTTCAGTCACTTCAACCAATTGCTTCAAATGGTTGAAACCGTTGAAACGGTTGAAATGGTTGAAAAAGAGAGGTTTTCAACCGTTTCAACCATTTCAACCATGTCAACCAATTGGTTGAAACGGTTGAAATGGTTGAAACAGAGAGGTTTTCAACCGTTTCAACCATTTCAACCATTTCAACCAATTGGTTGAAATGGTTGAAACGGTTGAAAAAGAGAGGTTTTCAACCATTCCAACCATTTCAACCGTTTCAACCAGTTGGTTGAAATGGTTGAAACGGTTGAAATGGTTGAAAAAGAGAGGTTTTCAACCATTTCAACCGTTTCAACCATTTCAAAAATGGTTGAAACGGTTGAAACGGTTGAAAAAGAGAGATTTTCAACCATTTCAACCGTTTCAACCATTTCAAAAATGGTTGAAACGGTTGAAATGGTTGAAACAGAGAGGTTTTTAACCATTTCAACCATTTCAACCGTTTCAACCGTTTCAACCAATTGGTTGAAGTGGTTGAAACGGTTGAAATGGTTGAAAAAGAGAGGGTTTCAACCATTTCAACCGTTTCAACCATTTCAAAAATGGTTGAAACGGTTGAAATGGTTGAAAAAGAGAGGTTTTCAACCATTTCAACCGTTTCAACCATTTCAACCAATTGGTTGAAATGGTTGAAACGGTTGAAACGGTTGAAAAAGAGAGGTTTTCAACCATTTCAACCATTTCAACCGTTTCAACCGTTTCAACCGTTTCAACCAATTGGTTGAAATGGTTGAAATGGTTGAAACGGTTGAAACGGTTGAAAAAGAGAGGGTTTCAACCATTTCAACCGTTTCAACCATTTCAAAAATGGTTGAAACGGTTGAAATGGTTGAAGAAGAGGTTTTCAACCATTTCAACCATTTCAACCGTTTCAACCGTTTCAACCAATTGGTTGAAATGGTTGAAACGGTTAAAACGGTTGAAAAAGAGAGGTTTTCAACCATTTCAACCGTTTCAACCATTTCAAAAATGGTTGAAACGGTTGAAATGGTTGAAAAAGGGAGGTTTTCAACCATTTCAACCGTTTCAACCGTTTCAACCAATTGGTTGAAATGGTTGAAATGGTTGAAAAAGAGAGGATTTCAACCGTTTCAACCAATTCAAAAATGGTTGAAACGGTTGAAATGGTTGAAAAAGAGAGGTTTTCAACCATTTCAACCGTTTCAACCATTTCAACCAATTGGTTGGTTGAAATGATTGAAATGGTTGAAACGGTTGAAACGGTTGAAAAAGAGAGATTTTCAACCATTTCAACCGTTTCAACCATTTCAAAAATGGTTGAAACGGTTGAAATGGTTGAAACAGAGAGGTTTTCAACCATTTCAACCATTTCAACCATTTCAAAAATGGTTGAAACGGTTGAAAAAGAGAGGTTTTCAACCATTTCAACCGTTTCAACCATTTCAACCAATTGGTTGAAATGGTTGAAATGGTTGAAAAAGAGAGGTTTTCAACCATTTCAACCGTTTCAACCATTTCAAAAATGGTTGAAACGGTTGAAACGGTTGAAACGGTTGAAAAAAAGGAGGTTTTCAACCATTTCAACCGTTTCAACCGTTTCAACCATTTCAACCGTTTCAACCGTTTCAACCATTTCAAAAATGGTTGAAACGGTTGAAATGGTTGAAAAAGAGAGGTTTTCAACCCTCTGGACACGCGCAAATGCTGCTATTTACAGTATTTGCAGCCTGTGGCAACGCAGAAATGCCGCTATTCACAGTATTTGCAGACTTTGGCAACGCAGAAATGCTGTGATTGACAGTATTTCCGCCTCTGCAAACGCAGAAATTTTTCAATTTGCAGCACTCGCAGCTGAACCAAGAACCAAGGCCGAGCCACACCTTTGCAAGGGAAACATGGCCGAGCGCTTTGCAACAAAAACCTCCGAACACATTTCTCGCACGATAGGTTTTTAAAAATGTATGCGCTCCGGAACCGCCGCCTCCGGGCCGAGTGTGCTCAGAAGCCGCCAATCCCTCATGCTTCCGAAGGGGGGGCTTAGGGTGGGAGTAAAGGGCTCGAATCCTTCGTGCTTCGGGGAGGGGTCCCAGGGTGGGGTCCCAGGCTGGGAGTGAGGGGCTTCTAATCCTCGTGCTTCGGGGAGGGGTTGCAGGGTGGGAGTGAGGGGGCTCTAATCCTTGTGCTTCGGGGAGGGGTGCCA